GGGCTGCTGCCTGGATCACAGTGAGCCGGGGTGTCTGCAGCAGACAGAAACTGAAACGAGGACAGCCGCTACCCTAACAGAACCGCCCGCCCCTTCATGAATAATAATCATAATGTGTTATAATTGTTGTGTGTTCTTATGTGGTTGCACATGACCAGTTCACTGCAGCCCATCCCCTCCTGCACCGCGCCCCCACCTCCCCGGCAGCCATGTCCAACCTGTGCACAAGGCTGAACTCTGGGTCAGAGACTGAGACGGGCACAGTGCACGCAGCCTGTTGAGTTTCTCTCACTGTCAGATGGGCTGTTTCTGCTGCTTCACTTATAAAAGAAAAATATTGATGCTAACAGATGATTATTTATGCCCCAGATTATAGCAGAGATGTGTCTCTGTTAAAGTTTATTGTTAAACATCTGCTACATTCAGTTCTACAAGTTTGTAAACAACAACAAAGTGTTGTGGCTGTTCACATGAGCTCAACTTGATTCAGTTTAGAATCGTACTGAGGTAACTGTACTCTGATAAATGTAATTTAATAACAGATCAAATATGAAAAATAGTATTCAATAACATGAGTGGAAATCCTGTAAATATAATTCTTTGAATTAAATAATAATTCTGGGGAGAAATCTGTCAGTCTAACATAAAAACAAGTTAATTTAAACTCTTCAAATTACTCTAGGGGGCAGCACGGTGGCACAACTGGTAGAGCTGCTGCCTCTCAGCGAGCAGGTCCTTGGTTCAAACCCCTGTCCAGGGGCCTTTCTGGGTGGAGTTTGCATGTTCTCTCCGTGCATGGAGTTTGCATGTTCTCTCCGTGCATGCGTGGGTTTTCTCCTGGTGCTCCGGTTTCCTCCCACAGACCAAAAACATGCATGTTAGGCTGATTGGTAACTCTAAATTGTCCCTAGGTGTGAGAGAGAGTGAATGGTTGTTTGTCTCGTTTGTCTCTATGTGGCCCTGTGATGGACTTGCGACCCGTTCAGGGTGTACCCCACCCCTCGCACAGTGATTGCTGGACATGGGCACCAGCGACCCCCGTGACCCAAAATGGAACAAGCGGGTAAGGATAATGGATGGATGGATGGATGAAATTACTCTAGGTGTAGAATAAATGTTCAGTCAACAGATTTCTTTCCTCTTTAATCCGTGAAATGTGTTTTTCCCTTTAGGAGTCTCTGCATGCTCCTGTGAAGTCTAGTCGAGTGGCGCTCCCAGGCCGTCAAAAGGCTGAAGCTCCTGCACTGGAATCCGTGCACGGTGCTCACAAAGCAGCCTTCCCATCTGCTTCACAGGAATCTGCTGTGCCACCAAGTCCCCTGAAGAGTCCAGCTCTCTCCAAAGATCTTCACCACATCCCCAGTCCCCAAAAGCCAGAGCTCCAAGACAAACCCACTGTTTCCAGCTCTGTGGCCCACCAGGACAAGGTCCCGGCTGCAGCACCTGGTAAGTTTGGTTCCAACATAAAATCACCATCATTGTATTCAAACTATTCATTTATGCACACGACACTGTGCTATCTGTCCTGAACTCCAAAAAGGTGCAAAGTCTTTCCTGGAACGTTTTGGAGAAAGGTGCCAGGAGCGCAAAGATCACATGACACCAAACGAACGCCTCACTTCGGCCAAGAAGACTTGTGTAACTCCGTCAGTCACACCAAACACCAGGTTGATGCAGGAGAGGCTGAGAGCTGCTCACACTGCAAACACCACCACTGCTGAGCTCACTCAAAGAAGCAGACTGGTATGTTCAGGGTTCCCAGCAACTCTGGAAATCAGGGAAACCTGGAAAATGACTTTCACATCTTCCACTCAGGGACGTTGTGAAAAAAATATTAATACTGTGTTTAATTCAGTGACTGAGCACTGCTAATTCAACAATGATGTTTCTGAGATTCTGATGTGTGCTGGTGTCAGTCGGTCCATGTTCTGCTCCTACAGTACACATGTCCTCACTGAACAAGACAAGACTACGTTCTAAATGTTCCGTGCGACAGGAAATCTGGAATTTCAGCATTTACGCAGGGGATTTTGTTTTCCTGTTTCATCAAACCCATGCTGGAGTTCCTGCGCCGTCTTTTCAATATTTTAACGGCCGTAAGAAAAACCAGATCCTCTTAATTTCAGGAGCGGGAGTGTGAGCTGGCCCAGATCCGCAGCGGCTTCCAGAAGGGGAAGAGTGTGTGGAACGTCAAGGATGAATCGGCAGGAACAACGATGAACAACAAGGTTTGGAACAAGTGCCTGATGTGTGATGTGATGTAAATGTTTGCTTGGTTAAAAACAGAAATATTCAAGACGAATGGAAGTGTAACAATAAAAACATGAAAACAAAAAAATCAATGTTCAAAGATGCTCGTTTCTTAAGGCTTTAGAATAAGCCACACATAAATGCGTGAATACACCTTTCACCTGATTGTTCAGTGATGACGTTAACAGTTAGAGGGACGGGTTTATACCTGTTCTGTTCACACAGGTGAACCCAGCTGCTCCCTGAGCTCAGGATGTTTGACGGCTACACGTTTGTCTGAAAAGACTGCTGCAGTTTGAGGAGTTTGAGCCAGAGGTCGGAGCAGCAGCTCTTTGAGAGTTATAAATCTTGCTGCTGTTCTTATTAAATATTAATATAGAGCTTTACATGTGACTGTTGGGTTTCATTTGCTCTAATCTGTGAATGTACTAAAAATGAATAAATAAAAAATACAGTGTTAAGGTCAGACATGTTTATTCTTTCAATTTCAATGCAGTTTATTTATATAGCGCCAAATCACAACAAAGTGGTCTCAGGGCACTTTACAGAAACATTCACTTACATAAAAGCCAATTAATAAAGTTCTCTATCTAAGGAATCCAGCAGACAAGTTGAATCTTGGCTTTGTTGCAGTCTCCCATCCTGAGCAAGCACAGTGGTAACAGTGGAAAGGAAAAACTCCCTTTTAAAAGGAAGAAACCTCCAGCAGAACCAGGCTCAGGACAAGCGGCCATCTGCTTTGACCGGCTGGTTGAGAGGACAGGAAGGAGAGACAGACGAACGCAGAATGGTAGGTCCAGATATAGGTCCAGGTGTACCTGAAAGACAAAAAAAAAAAAAAAAAACACATGTTAAGGGTAGAAAAAATAATTACTAATACAAAACAGGTTGAGCAGAGTAAGTAAAGACAGTAGCAGAGTAAAAATTGTGGTCAGTTTGTCCTCCAGCAGTCTAAGCCTATAGCAGCATAACTAAGGGACAGCTCAGGAAACCCAAGCCGACCCTAACTATAGGATTTAGCAAAAAGGAAAGTCTTAAGCCTAGTTTTAAACTGGATAATGTGTCAGCCTCACGTACAGAGATTGGAAGTTGGTTCCACAAGAGGGGAGCCTGATAACTAAAAGATCTGCCTCCCATTCTGTTTTTGTAAATTCTAGGAACCACAAGTAAACCTGCAGTCTGAGAGCGAAGTGCTCTGTTAGGAAAATATGGAACAATAAGATCTGTAATATAAGATGGAGCCAGGTTGTTGAGAGCTTTGTAGGTTAGAAGTAAGATTTTGAATTCTATTCTGGACTTGACAGGGAGCCAATGGAGAGAAGCTAAAACTGGAGAAATATGATCTCTCCTATTAACTCCAGTTAAGACTCTGGTAGCAGCATTTTGGATAAACTGAAGATGTTTTAAAGAAGTATTTGGACATCCATATAATAAACCATTGCAATAGTCCAGTCTAGACGTGACAAATACATGGACCAGTTTTTCTGCATCATTTTTAGATAAGATGTTTCTAATTTTAGTGATATTACGCAGGTGGAAGAAGGCAGTTCTAGTAACGTTTTTAATGTGGGGGATAAAAGACATGTCCTGATCAAAAATAACACCAAGATTTTTAACATTAGAGCTGGAGGACAGATTAATGCCATCTAAGGAGGGAGAAAGACCGAAAAATTCATTCCTATGGTGCTCAGGTCCAAAAACCAAAACCTCAGTCTTGTCTGTGTTCAACAGGAGAAAATTAAGGGTCATCCAGGTTTTTATGTCTTTAAGACATGCTTGTAGTCTAAGTAGCTGATTGGATTCATTGGGTTTAATGGACAAATATAATTGTGTGTCATCAGCATAACAATGGAAATTTATCCCATGCTGTTTAATAACTTTAACTAATGGAAGCATATATAAAGTAAAGTGTATTGGCCCAAGCACTGAGCCCTGAGGAACTCCATGACTAACTTTGGTGTATGAAGAAGATTTATTATTTACATTTACAAACTGGAATCTATCAGATAGATATGATTTAAACCATTTTAGATTTTTGCTGAAAACGAACTTAAACGCTTCCTCCTCCTCCATGCCGGTTTCGTTCCTGTAACCAAAATAAGCCTGCAAAATTCTGGAATAATATGCCCTTGGGTGCTCATTCTTACCTTGCATGACATTGTCGGCGGCTGGATATCCGCCAGGTCCCGCGCAAGGGGTATACTCTTTCATAAGAGCAGCACATAACAGGCGGTAATCCTTTCTTGTGGCATCAGGTTGACGCTCTATAAAGGAAAACACCGTCCTGGCTGAAGTGAGCCTGATCAAACCTACTTTATCCTCAACTGTAGCGTTGTGATAGCTTCTTAATTGGAAGTCAAGGTCGTGCAGATAGGCCTTAGTGTCGGTTGAACCCAACGGCCCTGGCTCAAAGTGTTGGACATATTTCGCTATTTTATGCAATGCCGCTATTGAGAGCAGAGGCTGAAGGATTGGTGTTGTTGGAACAAAATAATCACGTGGAGGTGATTCACCAGACTCACGTGGAGTGGCATAAGGGGATTATGTGTAGGAGGTACAGCAAAATCCTTCTGAGGTGGTGATGGTTGACCTGGACTCTGACCCAGTTCGTCTTTGAGTTACAGACATCCTTGCCTCTCGTCAGAGATTTTATTTGTGGCTGCGGCAAGTTGTGTCTCACAGGCTGGTAAGCGTTCATGTGATGTATGACACTCACTTTGTAAACGCACGCCTTGTTGGACTAACGCCGCTTTTTCCAATATGCACTTGTCCAGAGATTTTGATGTTAGCTGCAACCGTTGGTGCAGAGCATCATAGTCTGAACACAGTGCTTGGTACCGCATCCCTCCATCACGTAGCTTTTCCTCATATGAGTTTGCTTGTAACAACAGCTGAGCTTGTGAGAGCTCTTTTTCACGTTTCAATTTATCCTCCCAGTTCTCCTTCACCAATTGAAACTGTGCTCTGAGTTTTAGACACTCATCAATTGTTGTTTCGCGGGCCTCTGTCTCGCGTTTCAACCTTATATCAAGGGCTTCTGCCCTGTTGGCCTCAAGGTAAAATTTAGCCTTTAGCAAGAGTGCTATTTTAGCTAGTTGTTCATAGCCTGACTTTTTTATTGCTGCAGAAGTTACACTGTCTGCAACTTCCCTCAGCTCGTCCAACAACTCTGTTGAGTTCATGCTGTCCACCTGGTCACCATATGGATATAAAGAATCTGTGAGCAGCCTTAGGGCTGTCTCAAGCCAGTCCTTTTTATCACATGGAGCAACATCAGCATTCTCAGCTTCTGTTAAATCTGCCATAGTTGTATTTACTGTTCAGCAAAACCTATCTGGTTAAACTGTCGCAATCCCAGAGTTTTTCAACAGGTAAATGTTTGTATTTAAGTGAGCAGTGAGTTTCACACACTATTTTAGCTCTGGGTTTTATCAACAGTACTGTTATAAGCCAACTTTCCAATAAATGGGCCCCTGTGTTTAGGCCTTACCCCATTAATATTGTAAGTAAATGCTTCCTTTGGCAGTGTTACTTAATATGAGCTTAATTCTAACAGATATAAGAGCCAGGCTATTTCAGTGTTCATTTACTCCAATGTACTTAAAATTAAATAAACCTGCAATATTTTCTAAGAAGACTGACAGCAACTTTGTAGTTGTAAACGCGCCTTAAGCAGTTTAATTTACTAGAATTTGCTATTTAAACAGTAACTCATAAACCAGGCTTGATTAACAAAAAACATTTTTAAATGAAAAGCGAGTGTGCAGCTCTCAGTTCTGAAAAACTGTTATACTCTTTTTTTTCAACAGCAGGTGGCGGTGTAAGCTTACTTTTACCGGTAGGAGTCACTGACGACTTCCTGTGAACCGTCCTGTTGACATCCGGTCATTAGCCGTTAGCTACGATTAGCAACGGTCGAACATGGTTCAAATCAGCATTTATGGACGGATTTAAAGCTGTATGTGGCGTCGCTTCACAAGCACGCTCTTTATGCATGGACTCATGAGTTTAGGAACGAATGTCAGGGCTTTATTCAGCTTTTTTAAACACAAAGGAAGACTCCGTTAAAAACGAGCTTCATTTCCGGGGTCACGTGACTTTACAGACACGTGAACATCGGGGGTGGGCTTTTCGCACTGACGCCAGAGTGAGTGGACGTACACGGCGTTACGTCACCAGCTTCTCAGCGAATCAGAATGTCCCAAACAGCGGTCCTCGACCAATCACAGCTCGTGTGTACTCGCCTTAAGCTAGCAGTTTGCTTCAACAGTCCGGCCACAACATTGCCTATTAAAGCTTCGAAAATGTTCAATTAACTGTGGGAATGTAACGAATTAGCATAGAAGCAGCTCTGAGTCGGCGCTCAGCTCCAAAGACAACGTTTCACCATTTAAAACACGTCTCGTTGAGTCCAGTAACAGAACCGGGTCGAACTCGCAGAACCCCTGGTCATGCTAGAGTTTCAAACAGAATGAATGCCTTATTCCCTGTGCTTACAGCTTAATTACACAAACAGAATGACACTTTCAGCTTCAAAATGAACACATTGACGCAATTCTGCATCTTTCTGAACCCCACAGCCGTAAAATATGTCTGTAGCAACGTCAAAACTCTGACTTTTTTATGCCAACATGTCGAGTTATTCACAGTTTCACAAGTCACACATAATTTATCTCTTTAGAAACGTTACGAGCCACCAATTATGTAGTATGTCAGGACAGCTTTGCTGTGGACACACTACTAATTAATTATTCTTAAAGCTAGTTCAAGCACAAAGAATATTAATTGTTTAATTACAACGGATTCTTTTCTTTTTCGAGTTAAACTTCTGCCATGTGACCGAGATAACTGTGAGTGGACTGTTTAATCAGTGACATGAGACGCCATTTTATCTTTGACCCATCAGAATAAATGCGGTCATTTATTTAACAGAATCAAAATTTAACATCAAAACATGTACACATTGATTTGCTAATCTGTTTCTGATTAATAAACTTGGCAAGCTTTACTAACAAGTCAACAGAACATTACTGATTGAGACTGATTCATCTCTGAAGGCATCTAGTTTGATTTACTGGCGAATAGAAGTTTAAAGAGAAGGAGAATTTAAGTTTAAAGATTTAAAAAGGTTTAGATGGAAGCTATGTGTGAAACCAGAACTTTGCACCCTTCCTCCGACATCCCGCTCAGCTTTCCGGTACACTTCAGGACGTGCAGCGACTTTATTACCTTAGATCAGACCTGGGCATTGTACGGCCCCAGGGCCACATGCGGCCCTTTGGTTGACTCTGACCGGCCCCCGTAAGGGGAATTACAAAATACATGTGTAAACAAATGAAGTTAACCAAATCCAGATATAGATCCTCTCTCAATGATGATGTCAGCTTTGCTTCACATCTCCACCTCAGACCTTGAACCTGACTTTAACATTTCCGTTAAAGCCCAACAGAGACTAGACTTCTCTCACTAAACAAGAAAAAATAACCGAAAAACACCAAATGAGATGTTTAGACTACAAATGTAGGCACGTAAAGAACCGGGACTCGAAATCACAGTTCAGTGACGATCACTATTATATGATGTTTCATAATATCTGGAGTACAAAGACAATATTGTGATATATTTACAAAGCTAAGAACTTTTTCAGCAGTATATAAAACTCAAAATGAGTTTTGGGGTGAATGTGACTGAAAATGATCACTAATATAACGTCACAAATGGTAAAAATGTTAACAGTTTACCATTGTACTGGGAAATTTAATTGAATAAATGACATTTTTTGTAAGGAAACCTCACTTTTTCGTTGCTTAATCATAACAAATACTCTTACCAGCTTGTTAAAACAGTGCTATGTACTGTGTTTAATAATGAAATACTATTATTATTATTATGCAGTATTGAGTTATGTTGAAATCAGGTCTCTCTTGTAAATGAGTCCTCGAGGCTCAATGGGATTTACCTGTATAAATAAAGGTTGAATGAAAAAGTCATTTGTGCCAGCCCTCCACAATATTTGCTGTTTCTCATGTGGCCCCATGGAAAAAATAATTGCCCACCCCTGCCTTAGATGGAGATACCTCCACTCCTGAACAGAAGTCCATTAGTATTATCCCTTTACAGCGTCTCCGGTTAAAGTAACTGGGAATCTTTAGAATAAATGCATATACTCATGAGGTACTCGGTTCCACCGAATAAGCTTCCTTAGAAGTGGAGCATTTACTGCTCGGGTTGAGTGCACAGCGATGCGAGCGGTGACTCCGCTAAATGGAGGGACCCCTTGGCACACGGTCCCATCCATCCGCTGCTTAAGTGAGTCTCATCTCTGACTGAAAGTTCCAGCAAGACTGGAAAAGAGTAAGACTCGTGAAGACTAATACTGAAGACTTAGCCCTAAGACTTAAGACTCCGACTGAGTTCCAGCACTGAACTCCAGGACTGCACTTCAGGACTGAACTGAGTTCCAGGACCGGGCTGAATAGTTCCACGAAGTGTTCCTTTTAAAGTGGTATACACTTCCTGTTATTCCTGATAGGTTGAAACAACCAGCAGGGGGGTGGTTCTAGTGATGTCAAGAGGGTCACTAGAAGTCAAAAGACAGCAGGAATGTTTACAAACGGTTAGTACAGACAGAAATATTATGACGAAGTGGGACAAACGCAGGTGCCAGTTGAAGTTATTTACTATCTGCTAGCTTTAAGAACAAGACACTTCGTTCTAATAACTCGTCTCTGTTTGTCTCTGACTTTCGACCGACATCACTAAATGCACACTTACTTCGTAAATAGGCATTTAACTGTATGATCAAAAATCTGCTGAGGTTTAAAAATCATTAATACTGTTTCACAGTTGATTTAAATGAGTGGTTCACTTCAACATTTAGAAATGGTATGAACTAAACACACTTTTGATTATCAAGATATTGTAAAATAGTAATGATAATATAAAAAAGAAGAGTGTTCTTTCAGTTGATTAATTCAGGATACAATTAAATAGTCTCTTGATGAGATAATTTGTATTTCTGGATTCAAATCAATGAAATAACAGTTCCTGTCCCCTGAAGGTCTTCAGAGACAGATTGATGTAGGAGGTCTAGTTCACTACACATGTTATGAATGTCTCCTAGGACAAGTCTAGTGATGTAGGAATCCTTTGGCAGAATGACTTGCTGCTTAGAATCATATGGCAAAGCTGCTCGACTCAACCTTCCTCCAACAGTCTTTCTTACCGGCCCCAGTGACTCCAAAACTTTCACTCATTTGGACAAGAGCACTTGATATTGTTTGTCTTTCACAGCTTTCTCTTGTTGTTTTCCGTCCAGAATCTTTAAGATGCAGTCGTGAACATTCTTGACACTGAGTCTTTTCCTTGCAGCTGTTGCTCATATGACCATGTTTTAGGCAGCCAAAGCATAGTCCTTTACTTTTCAAAAAGTCCATCTTCTCTGCATGTGTTTTACTCTTTAGTTTTCTGCAGGACGAAAGAGTGTGTTGCTCTCCTTTACAGAAACTACAAGGTTTGCTCTTTGGGTCTAGGTGGGGTGTCTGTGTTTGTTGTCTTTCCTGCTTGCAGCCGTCTGTATCATCTCTATATTCACCTTTGGGGTGAAAGACAGTTGTTGTGAACACCCTTTTTGGTTGAACCGTTTGTGAACGTTGCTCCTTTCATTTCTGTTTTGCAGGTTCCTTTGCATTTGCTGAATCCTTAATATTTCCATACAGTGGGAATTGAAATAATTTTATTTATAAAGAATCTCATGAAGTCATCACTACTTATAGTTGTAGGGATACATGGTTCAACAGAAATGGGACTTAATTAGTCTAGCAATAGTACTAAACAGAAACCTAGGGTTATTTTTATTCTCCTCTATTAAAGATCAGTAATATAAAGTGTTACGGAGAGCTTTTTTATATGTTAGCAGACTATCTTTCCAAGTTAAATAAAATTTTTCAACATTAGTAGAGCGCCATTTTCTCTCCTGGTTTCTAGATGCCTGCTTTAAAGTATGTAACTCAGAATTGAACCAAGGAGCCAGTTTCTTCTGATTGATTACTTTCTTTTTCAGTGGAGCAATTTTATCAAGTGAAGTTTGCATTGAAGTTGTAAGATGATCAACTAGATGATCTAAGTCTTTGATACTTTTAAGATCATATATGTTTTCTAAATGTTTTGTATTAAAGGTGCAGAAGCCTGTACAGAGTGAAGTTTCTCAGAGTGAACCTGCAGCATCTACCAAGAACATCAACACCCCCCCCAGGTGCAACTCTCCAAGTAGGAACTGGCTTCTTTTTAACTTCCCATGCTAATGTGTTAGTAAAACTACAGCTAGAGGTTTAATTTATAGAGTAATTATATTTATTTTACAAATAAATTCATATTGTTTAATCAGATGTTTTTACAGTAATGTGTAAGTTGTTCCTGTCCCCCTGCATGTCAGCTCTCTTTCACTGTGTTTGTCAGTTTGATTTTTAATGTTTGTGTTGAATTTTACCATACCATACCATACCACTTTATTTATAAAGCACTTAAAACAGCTACAAGGCCAACCAAAGTGCTGTACAGACAAAACAACAGGTAACACACCAAGCAAAATACAAAATGAGGTAAATCGGAATATAGACATAAAAAACGATGCAGATAATGACGACAAACCAGTGTGGAGCAAACCGGATCAAAACACAGATCATCTGGTGTTGAAAGCTACTGAATAGTAGTGAGTTTTTAAACGGGACTTGAAAACCGAGAGGGAGGGGGCCTGTCTGACAAGCAGAGGTAACTCGTTCCAGAGTCTTGGTCCTGCTACAGAGAAGGCCCTGTCACCTCTGCGCTTAAGACGAGTTCCGGGAACTGTGAGGAGCAACTGGTCCGCTGACCTCAGTGTACGTGGTGGGACATACGGTTGTAGCAGATCAGAGAGATGGGGGGGGGGGGGGGGGGACACTGTTCAGTGATTTGTAGACATACAGGTCCTTCTCAAAAAATTAGCATATTGTGATAAAGGTCATTATTTTCCATAATGTAATGATAAAAATTAAACTTTCATATATTTCACATTCATTGCACACCAACTGAAATATTTCAGGTCTTTAATTGTTTTAATACTGATGATTATGGCATACAGCTCATGAAAACCCAAAATGCCTGTCCCAAAAAATTAGCATATTTCATCCCACCAATGAAAGACAATTGTTTTTAATACAAAAAACACCAACCTTCAAATAATCATGTTCATTTATGCACTCAATACTTGGTCAGGAGTCCTTTTGCATGAATGACTGCTTCAATGCGGCGTGGCATGGAGACAATCAGCCTGTGGCACTGCTGAGGTGTTATGGAGGCCCAGGATGCTTCGATAGCAGCCTTAAGCTCATCCAGAGTGTTGGGTCTTGCGTCTCTCAACTTTCTCTTCACAATATCCCACAGGTTCTCTATGGGGTTCAGGTCAGGAGAGTTGGCAGGCCAATTGAGCACAGTAATACCATGGTCAGTAAACCATTTACCAGTGGTTTTGGCACTGTGAGCAGGTGCCAGGTCGTGCTGAAAAATGAAATCTTCATCTCCATAAACTTTTCAGCAGATGGAAGCATGAAGTGCTCCAAAATCTCCTGACAGCTAGCTGCATTGACCCTGCCCTTGATAAAACACAGTGGACCAACACCAGCAGATGACATGACACCCCAGTGACTGTGGAAACTTGACACTGGACCTTAAGCAATGTGAATTCTGTGTCTCCTCTCTTCCTCCAGACTCTGGGACCTTGATTTCCAAAGGAAATGCAAAATTTACTGTAATCAGAGAACATAACTTTGGATCACTCAGCAGCAGTCCCAGGCGAGATGCTTCTGACAGTCTCTTGTTCAAGAGTGGCTTGACCTGGGGAATGCGGCACCTGTAGCCCATTTCCTGCACACGCCTGTGCACGGTGGCTCTGGATGTTTCTACTCTAGACTCAGTCCACTGCTTCCACAGGTCCCCCAAGGTTTGGAATCGGCCCTTCTCCACAATCCTCCTCAGGGTCCGGTCACCTCTTCTCGTTGTGCAGCGTTTTCTGCCACACTTTTCCCTTCCCACAGACTTCCCACTGAGGTGCCTTGATACAGCACTCTGGGAACAGCCTATTCGTTCAGCAATTTCTTTCTGTGTCTTACCCTCTTGCTTGAGGGTGTCAATGATGGCCTTCTGGACAGCAGTCAGGTCGGCAGTCTTACCCATGATTG